AATCCTAAACCATTATTTACTTATTTAGATTAATCTTAAGATCTTAACTCAAAATATATATTTAAATTCGTATCAAATTCATAACTTATCATAAGGAAATGTTCAAAACGTGGTTTAAGGAACTTCATTATTAACTTGTGTATATCAACATGGTACTGAAAGTATTTAATTAAGAATATCTCAAATAATCATCCATCAAAATTTAATAATATTCAAGTTCAAACAAAGTTTTAGCCATGCTTAAGAACTAAAATCTAGTGATTAAGTCATCTTCACGTAGTCTATTTTATAATTCTATCAAAATATAATAGCCTTTCTTACGTATAATGTCTATTTTCAAGACAAAATTTTCAAATTCTAAACTATTTCACACTTAAAAATTTAAAATAAAGTATTCAGATATGATAGAATTTTAATATGTGATAAAACGAATTAATAAAATTAATTCTTCAAATGACTTCACTAATATTGATGTCAAATTCATATAAAAATAAATATATAAGAGAAAAAAATTATAGAATAAATATAAAGTTATTTTATTTAAAAATCTGCTTGGATAAAAGTGTTTCTTTACTCCTGAGTAAGTTACAATCATATTATGAAAGAGAAGAGACATGAAGGAGAAACTTTACAGAAAAGAAAGAAAAAGAAAAAGGAAAAAGTAAATAAAGAAAAAGACTGACTTATCAATACATTTATTACGTGTTTTTAAAATATATATTTTTCTTTAAATTGATATTTATTTAAAATAAGAAGTGAAGTACAAATTTAAAATATAATTTTATAAAAATGTAAAATTATATTTTAAAGCATAACGGTAAGAGCCTGAAAATGAAATGCTATTGGGTCCTGCAGCATGACCAAGAAGGCTTAAGGAGATAGGACCTCAGAAGAGGCCTCATTTTCTAGCTCCAGTTACTCTTTCTCTCTCTAAACTCAGTTCCATTTTCCTCTTCTTGCTCTGACTTCTCTCTACTTTTTCACCACTTCCCATCCGTTGAAATTTCAAATAGGAGGTGCTGTCGTTCACGGAGTTGAGGAGTTTCATCATCCGATTAAAATTCTGCTTTGGAAGGGTAAGTTATCTTTCTCTGTTCCTCCCTTGCCTTTGAACCTAGGGCATACAATTTTCTAGTTGATGAAATCAATGGAGTTACCCTCTAGATTCTCTACCTATTCTAACTCTAAGAGATGTCTCTGTATCAATTTTGACATTTTGTAGATCCTGTGGAATTGCTAGTGCAAGAGTACTGTTTTGGGGTTGCCTCTAAAGGAGTGTTGTACTTTAACCACTAAGGTAATGGGAGCTAATTAATTTTTGTATGAATTATTTTATAAAAATCTATGCATATGAATGTTGAACTGGTGTGCTACGGTGAAACTGTTTTATGACTTTTATTGTATGGGTGTTATAACTGAAACTGTGAAATTGTGCTGTTGTGTGTGATGAATTTAATTGTTTTGCATGAGTTTGTTGGCTGAAATTGATCTTGTGGGAAGGTCTAAAGTAAGGGTTCTGTAATAGCATGTATATGGTATTAAATAGATGTACAGGTACGTTTGAGGTTGTTGTGAGAGGAAGTGAAAATATTGAAATTAGCATTTCAGATTTAGAGCATAAAGAAGAACAAGGTAGATAAATTTAAATTAAATAAATTGTTAATTGTTGAGAGCCTTTCTTTATTGGTAGGATAGAGGAACCTTAAAAACCTGAGTTGGCACATTCTTGATCATAGAGTAACCCTGGCCTGGTCCAGTCAGTTGTGCTAGTCATATGTGCTGGCGTCGAAGGTGAGTTTAAGCGTTCAGACATCTGGGTCCTCTCCGGTGACCAATTGGGGTAAAGAAAGATCTCTGCTAGGATAAAAATAAAATAAAACAAGTTGATTGTAGATGCATAAAGTTATCATGTGTTAATTTCTAGTTAATTATAATTTTAGGAAATCAGTCACTGGTGTTTGGAATTTAAAGTAAGGATCCACACACACACACACACATATATATATTAGGTAATATATATACTATATATATATATATATAATATATATATATATATATAATAAAGTAAGGATAGTTGTTCTATATTAAACCGTGGTGTTAATCAATAATTATATTACTTGTAGGTATGTATAAATTGATGCATTTTATGAGCTGTTATGGGTTAGTTGGAGGTTTGGTTCTTGGTATTGATTAACTTAGATTCAATTATGGAGATGTTATTTTTATAATTTGTGAGTGGTGAGTAATGTATATTGTTGATATTGTGTATATGTTGATTGTGGCAGAAAGTATATGATTACAAAGTGATGAAAGTATGATCCAAGTTGTAAATCAAGTTCCATGAGCTCAGTCTTGGGAGTCATTCTGAAACTCCAATGACTAATCATACTCAAGTAGAGGGATTAATCCATGTGGTGAGGAGTAGCAGGAGGTCTTAGTCTTGGAGGCTTCCAGTATGTCTTAAGGCCCGAACAGGACTAACCTCGTGAGTGTGGCAGGGTGGGGAACCCAAGTTTCATAAGCCACCACGAATGAGGACTCGCATAGTCGACTATATTTTAAGTCCGGACGAGTCAAGTCTAGTTTATGACATGTTCCTTGATATGGTTTACTTGCTTGGCTTAAAGTATTTATTGATGATTGTCTTTACTTTACTATAGTATGCTTGCTTGTGAAACTAGCTCACCCTTGCTTGTGTGTTTGTGCTTTGTTTGGGTATGTTTCCTGTTGCAATGATCATCCTAAATTGGATGTGAGTAGATGAAGATGAGGTGTCTGTGGAGCAAGCGCTGGAAGAAGGTGATGCTGCAGCTTGTATGTCTAGGATCTTGATTAGTAGTATTATTCTGATGATAATTCACAGTGGTCCTTTATGTTTAAGAGACAACTCTGATTTTATTTGGATGACTGTTAACCAATATAGTCTGGTTATATGTCTCTAACTGTTTTTCAATATTATAACCGAATGACGTCTTTATTATATATGCATATAGTTATTATGGGATATCACAATAACCATAACAGTACTTTAGAAAAAAAATTATATGTAAATTGTGTTGCACGAATAATATTTTTGTTTAAACTGTAACATTTAGATGTTGACATACTTAATGTAGAATTATTAATAAATTTTCGTATTTATTATTTTAGGGGAATATTATAAATTTATTTAGTTGAAAAATATATATTTAAACTGTTTTCATAGGTGAAGAAACATATAAAATAAATGTTTAAATATTATTTTTATTCCTATTTTTATTGTATTTAATCAATGTAGTTTTTTTTTTCACTGTTAAATAAAGTTTCAATTTTCATTAATCTTGGTTATTTTAGTGTTTTTCATAATGACATTTAAATAGTTGAAAAATATAAATTTAACCTATTTTCATAGGTGAAGAAACATATAAAATAAATATTTAAATATTATTTTGATTCCTATTTTTATTGTGTTTAGTTAATGTAGTTTTTTTTTCATGTCCAATAAAGTCTCAATTTTCATCAATTTTAGTTAATTTGATGTTTTTCCAATATGATATTTAACATATGTTAATTTATGATTTTATAACCTTTTAATTTTTTTTTAAATTTAATTTTTTTAGTTTGAAACCTATAAAGTTAGTATCGTGTTTGTAGATATGTCATTGTCTTTTGTTCAATTCAGATTTTATATTAATTATTTTGATTTAATTCAATCTTATTTTTTTTTAAATGAAACAATTTTGACACTCTCAAAATTGAAAACAAATTTAATTTTTATATAGATGTTATATTGATATTTTATTATAATTAACAATTTTATTAATATTTTTGAAATTCAAATATAAATTATTATATTTAATTTTAAATTTAAATTAATTATTAAATTTAATTATTAAATAGAATGTAATTATTAAATGTTTTATATTTTAATGTAAATTTTATAAATATCAATATAATTAGAATATAATTATTAGATTTATGTTTAATTTTTTTATTTCTGCATGTAAAACATAATGTTGACTTAAAAATAATTTTCAGAAATATTTATAATTAAATTTAATAATTTATAATTGAATTTTCGAAATATATAATAAAAATATTAATTTTAATAAAAATATTAATATAAAATTTATATAAAAATTAAATTTAGAAAGTAAAAAATTGTTCTATTTTGTTTTTAAAAAATTAAGATTAAATTGAATTAAAATAATGAAAAAAACAATAATTGAGCCACACATTGACATTGATACGATACTCACTTGGTATATAAATAATTTAAAAAAATAATTAAAATAAATTGCGATGACAGATGACACATGACGTACATGTGTCATTAATTATTTAATCATTATTATAAAAAAAGTACTATATTTACAAAAATTAAAATTATTTAAACGTGAAATCAGATTGAACAAATATAAAAATAGGACAAAAATAATATTTAAACTTAAAATAAAAGTTGATTTATCAAAATACATGTCATATCAAACATGGTTTGAAATGATATAGAAATGTCTCTTGATATATAGTATTGATTTTTATTTCTCACAATTTTTTATGTTTTTTAATGTTCAATTTGCTTCAACATATATATTATTTATGAGGAATGAAAAAAGAGTGACATATGTGTTTGGTTAAAGAAATTGAAGTCGATTGGAAAAGATGAATTTGAAGGAGATCCAATATTTTCATTATTATTTGTAACCCTTTACAAACTTAATACACTAATTGCATGGTGGCCTCATTATTAATAAATAATTCAAGAAAGTGAAATAATATGATGTAATAAACAATTTTATTAGTTATGTATTAATAAAATATTTAATAATTGGTCTATGACATAAGAGATGAATAGTAGACAAGAACAAATAAGTCAAGGGACTACTCGACTAGAATAGAAGAGGTAGGAATCATGACGAATCACAAAGCCAGCCTTACGCGTGCAGCGAAAGCACAAGTTACTGACGTCACAGGCTCAACGTCACAAACATTTTTCTATATAAAAAGTACGCAGAATTGAGAAACACGGCATTCCTTTCCGACAATGCTGGCATACCTACTCTCATCGCACCAACAATCTTAAACCTCTCTCTCCCATTGTTTCCGTTGATTAGAGTTTTGTTTTTCTCTCTGTTTTGCTATGGAAAATAAGAAGAGAGAAGTGAGGAACGATGACGATCGGGACGACGAGAACGACGAGATGAAGATGGAGAAGTTTTACTCGCTCTTGAGGAGCTTCCGCGACGCACGTGATCGGCGCCGAAAGGAATTGATGGAGTTGGAGAAGAACGAGAGCAACCGGAAAAAGATGAAGGCCACCACCACTACATCAACCAAGGCCAAGCCAGAAGTTGCTTTCGAATTTCAGGACTTTACCACCGATATTCACTTCAGAAAACCACCTTTGGTTTTTCCCAGTCCAAGTTCACGTGGCACAACCAAAGACACCAACAATGGTAAGAAGAACAAAGAACAACATGATGTTGCCCTCGACCTCAAACTCGCTCTTTAGCTACGCGCTTTAAACAACTGTCACCAAGACCACGGTCCTTCAATTTTTTTCGGAGTTTTTTTTCTTCTTCTGATTATACAGTTATTGTCTGATGGTTCTCTGTTTCCAAAAAAAAAAAAGTGAATGTATTTTATGGAAGGTAAATACAAGGAACCTTAAACAAAGAAAAATAAAAAACACTCATGTTAAAATAGTTTGTTTTTTTTATGATAGGAATTAGTGTTTCATTTATTTATATAATAATTGTAAATAATTTTTATTTTTAAGAATAGTAATATTTAAGTTACAAAGAATAATAATATAAGTAAAAGATTATAAAGATAATAAATTTTTAAAATAAAATTTAAAATAAAAATTACTAAATACTTTAAAATAATTTTTATTTTAAACACACTTTTTTTTTATAAAAAAAAAACTTGTTAGTAACCAAATACTTTAAAGAATGAATTATCAAATAATACATTTGGTGTAAAAAAACATTGAAGGAACTAATTAAAAAAATCACTAAAAATAAAAATAGAGATTAGGTAAATGATTAAACCTTTTCAAAATTAGGTTACTTTGAATTGAATCCGTAAAATGCATTCAATTGTCCAAGTTAACGTGGAGAGTGTTGGAGTCATTAGTTACCAGGTAAGGATCCGTATCCGAAATAAATATAGACAAATTAAAAGTAATATATTTTTACTTTATTTTTTTCAACTCTTTTATTATGAAACTCAAATGTCAATTTAAAATAAAAAAAGTCAATTCAAACTTTTTTTTTTTATATTGGTTCCACGGTCTGAATCAAATTAACGCGGCGCCGAAGGATTAATTTGATTTCGATTCACCGAATAAGAGAAGCATGTGAAATTTTATTTTTAGAAAACTATTTTATCTAAAAGAAATGTGTAGATGACTTCGTAATTAAATTATGTAAATAGTATATATTTATTGTAGTTGAGTTACATTAACTATATGATAATATATATTATTCATGTGGATTCTTTGAATTTTATTTATCAAATTTTTAAATAATAAATTCAGTATATGAACAAATTTCCGTGGAATTTGATTTATTTCGTTATTAGAATCAGTTGGTCCAGTTTAGATTAATAATTAGTTAGTTTGATGCAAATCTTATTGGACTTTGTCAGAACCAGTAGAATTAAATATCAGAACCAGTAGAATTAAATATCAGAACCAGTAGAATTAAATACGTGTTGTTAGTGAAATTCACGTGTCAAAAGGAAGACTCGACACTCAGGTGACGAACGCCAGGTGTCAAGCGAAGGAGATCCAGAAAATCAGTTAGTGGAAAGCAGGTGTCGACTGAAGAGGGGACGTTCGTTGTGACGCGTGCAGCAAAACTTGGATTTTCAGAAAATCTGCTCCACTCTCTTCATGCACCCTCTTTTCACGTTTCTGAAGAACTTCATTTTTTCCTCCTTCTCTCTACTTCTTCTTCATCTTCTCTCTGAGTAAACACTCACTTTCTCTTCTCCGATCTCCATTCAGGCACCGTAGGAGCACTTCCGGCGTCCCAATCTTTAGTTTGATCCGATTGGTTTCAAATTCTGAACGGGTAAGTTTTCCTTGTCTTTAACCGTTCGTTCTTGAAAACATGCAAACCAAGTTCTGGTTGCATGGGTCCTTAGTTTCATTCTGAACGAGTTTGGACTGTTGTTTTATTTTGGTTCGAAGAGTCGTTGAGCGTTGAGGGTAGAAAGGATCGTAGTTCGGCGAACTGAGTCTCAGTCTGTAGGACGTACGTTCACGCTCAGAGGTAAGGGAAGCTTATTTAATTTAATTTGTATTTGTATGTTGTTGTACTGGATGAACGTTCGTTATTTAACTGAATGACTTTGGTGCATGATGATTGATATGATTAGATTGCATGAACGTTCGTTTGTTTAATGAGTGGAAATGAAATATGGTTGAATTATGTTTTAATGCATGAAAGATATGAACCTTATATGATCTGGATTGTATGAAGTATGAAAGTTGATCATGATATGAATGTATAAAGTTATGAAACTATATGTTAAGAAAGAAGATAAATACAAATAAATTCTGAATATGAAATTTCTCATATGAAAGTGTACGTTCGTAACTGAACGGTTATTGACCGTTCGGTTCTTTTAGTAAACATAGTTGAAATGAGACTCTTTCATTTGGAGAGAATCCTAGTTGAGGACAAGCGTCCTCGTGTGTTAATACTATGCTTGAGCGTTCGGTCAAGCATAGTTGTATCTGGGTATCCTGTGACAACTTAAATCTTTATATATATATGTAATGGTATATTTTCGTTGTTCGTAAACACTACTTCTATAGTATCTGACTATATTTATCAAGCCTTTTATTTTAAGTTCATTAGTGCTCGGTCTTACACCAATCGCTTGTTCTCGTTTCTTATATAATCTATCTTGATGAAAAGTAGCGTTCGTCTAACTTAAATAAAATCTTCTTCTCCACCGTGCTCGGTCATTGACTGGCATTCAGAATTCTTGATGTAAATTTAAATATGCTAAATATTCTTAAGCGTTCGGCTTCTTCAGGTGAATCCTTCTAAGTATTATACTCTGAAAGTCTTGAAGTGTATACGTCCATTTGGTTCCGGCTTAGAGCTTTAGTATTTGGCCTAGTTCTTTCTGCGTTCGGTTAGAACTCTCAAGGGTCAGTTCATCTAATTGACTCACTTTGTAATTAATGTCCGTTCTAGTCATTCTTGCGATATGCAGTTGACCTCGGTTTCTTTCGTAATCCGATAATAACCCACTCGGTCTTATTCTATTATGGAACTGGAGACCTCTCTGTCTCGTTCCAAGTGTTCGTCCTCGTTCTGAGTGAGGATTGAACGTTCGGTATTGAGTATCCGTAAGAATTTTTGAACAAAGATGAAATTTAACATATGGGTAATGAAAGATTAATTTGAGAAAAGTGATAATGAAAGATGAAATTGAGAATGATTATGAATGAAATAGGAAGAGAATGTGATATGAATGAAATGATGTGGATTTGAACGAGCGTTCCAGGGAGGAACGACTCATGTATGAATGTTGGAATTGGTAAAGTATGACTGTGGGCATGCTAATGCTGGCGGTTCATCCTGATGTTCCGTGAGTACTCGTCCTCACGTAGAGGAGGGTAGGTCATGTGTGGGAACGGCAGGAGGTCCTAGTCCTTAGGGGTACTTTGGACGGAATGGACTAACCTCGGGTGGCAGCTGATGAGAGTATTCCAGTTACTACATCACTCGGGTGCACGAACGCCTGTAGCTACGCAGATTTCATACAGTTCAGACAGTCAGTCTAGTGATAGGCTTGTGTGATACGTATGTTGAAATTTATCTGTTGTTGAATTATTTGAAATGTATGTTTATGCATGAATTAAATTACATAAGCTTACCCTGTGTTTCCTGTCGTGTCTGGTTTTTGTACGTCCGTCCTTGTCATTGCAATGATCATCCATGTGGATGTGAGCAGAAGGAGTCGAGCTGCTGGAAGAAGAAAATTTGGAAGAAATCGAAGTCAAGACCGAAGAGTAGGACGTTCGGTCAATAGTCTAGTTATAGTAAAATGGACGTCCGCTCACTTTCCCTTTTGTTTAAGTATGAACGATCGGTATGGTTATTTTGTAAACCGGTCAGATAGTTCTGGTAGCGTTGTACGGGTTAAATTTGTAACTCTTTCTGTAAGGCCGTTCGGCCATGAGCGTACGCTCGACTCTAGTGTAAGACTAATCTGGATTATTATTAATGTAATTATTCTATCATATGGTTTATTGCTGTATTTTTGGGATGTTACAGACTTAATATTGAATTAGTATTTTGAATTGAAAAAATTGAGTTTGATATGAATTATAACTTAATCTTATTATTTTTGAACGAAATTTTTTTTTACCACTCTTTTAAACTCATGTTTCTGGAGAAAAATGTCAGGAGCCCTTTGGGTGAATTTGAAGTTTAATTTTTTTTTATACCGTGATAGCTTGTGTAGCCAGCTAATCCTTCTAGATTATCGAGAAAATGTTGGTTTCTATTTTTTGAATTTTTTTTCAAACTTTGCAAAAATATTTAAAATAGTTAGACTTTAAATTTTGATTTGAAATTTTTTGTGAGGAATTTTCATGATTTTTTTGGTCCTTCATAAAAACTTTCAAGCCATTTAGAGTTTATTTGAGCAAACTATCAGTTTTACCTATAACTATGGTATATGAAGAACAAACAACCAAACGAAAAATATCAAAAAGCTAAAACGAAACTAACTTTGGAGGTGAGTTTAGTGCTGAAGTGAAACGAAATAAACATCAAAGCGTCTATCCAAAGAATACTTGTGCACAAAATCAATCGGTCAAAACAAAAGGAAAATCATACCTAAGCACTTAATCAACGTAAAATGAAAAAAAAGTGGAAGAAATGTTGAAGATGATGGTCATGAAAATGATGAGAGAGCAACGACACAATAGAGAAAATGACTCTATCTGAAATGTGTATGAGGCTTTGTTTCCGCAATTTAACCCTAGAAATATGTTATTACCTGAGTTATTTTATTGGCCGAGATAATAAGGGCTCGATTCTATTAAGAATCTCTGTTTAAAGCTTTTTAAAAAAATATTTTCATTTATTTTATTTCTCGATTCATGACATAACCGAAGCATAAGTACTTTAGGGTCTCAGTTCTCTAAACAATCAAGGTCATAGACGTCTTTAGACTTCGATTCTTTGTGAACCAAGACATATATATGTTTGTAATAATTGTAAAAATAGCACTGTCATTTTATGCTTGTGTTGTAACGAAAATAATATGCGAGTTAAAATTCATATATTTTTATTAGTTAAAGTGGGATTTGTTTAGATGTTAGAAAGATAATCTAAAGAAGAATTGAGTTTGGACGTGAAAAAATCTTGATAATATCTATAGTTAATATTTCTGACTTTTTTTTCTTATCGTTAAATCTAAAGAAGAATATGAAGAAAGATAAAATAAGTGTTTTTTCGTGTAACGGACCACTTTGTTAGGCAGGGAAACGAGAATATTGCCTTTTAACAACATTATATTCTTGGACAATTTATTTAGTAAGTACTATATATTTATATCATT